AAAAAAAAAAAAAGCCAGAATGCAAAAACTAAAAATAAAAAAGACTAGAAGGAAATAGAATATGTTAGCAATGGCTATCTCCTAGAAGTAGGATTACTCAGGTTAGTGATTTTTCTCTTCTTTTTAGTTTATAGTTTCTTTCAAGGTTTATAACCAGAGAAATGGCCAAATGGGAACTAGAAGGTCAGTGCCAAAGGTCTTTGCTACATACTCAGAAGAGATCCAGACACAAATCCTGCCATCTCCCTTGTTGGAGAGCTGTTTCCATGGCACAGTCTGGTTACCTGTGCCACCAGACACCTCTCTCTGAACACCATCCCCTCCCCTCAGCCACCTCACCTCAGGGCTTTCTTGTCTGCCCATAGGGCCACATTGTCCACAACTGGAAGGCGCGATGGTTCATCCTTCGGCAGAACACGCTGGTGTACTACAAGCTTGAGGGGGGTCGGAGAGTGAACCCTCCCAAGGGCCGGATCCTCCTGGATGGCTGCACCATCACCTGCCCCTGCCTGGACTATGAAAACCGACCAGTAAGTGAAGGTCCCTGCTGTCCAGTTCCTCCTTGCCCCAGACCCTTCCCACCTCTGGCTTCTTTGGGAAACTGGTATGGGTAAGAGGAAGAGCTCAGAGTTAGAACTGGAAAACTTGGATTCAAATCCTGGCTACGCCACATACCAGGTATGTGAGCTTGGACAAGTAGCTAAACTTCTCTGAGCCTTTGTTCCTCATCTGTAAAATGGGATGAAATAATTACCCCTGAGTGTCTCCTGTGGCTATGGTGAGGACCTTGAATGTCATGGTGTATTAGAGCACAGTGTGGGCTGGGAGGCAAGCGCCACACAAATCTGAGTAATTTCTGCTATCTTGGGGCTCACTATGATGGCTTTCATCCCCTGAGGGGCCTGCATTCCATAACTAAGGGGTGGCTTCAAGCCTACCGTTAAAAAAGTCTAGGCTGGGCGTGGTGGCTCAAGCTTGTAACTTTGGGAGGCTGAGATGGGTGGATTGCTCCAGGTGAGGCATTTGAGACCAGCCTGGCCAACATGGTAAAACCGTGTCTCTACTAAAAATACAAAAATTAGCTGAATGTCGTGGCAGGGGCCTGTAATCCCAGCTACTCAGGAGGCTCAGGCAGGAAAATTGCTTGAGGCCTGGGAGCTAGAGGTTGCAGTGAGCCAAGATCACACCACTACACTCCAGCCTGGGTGACAGAACAAGACTTAGTTTCAAAAAAAAAAAATGTCTAACAATGAATCATTTATCAAGGGCCCATTATGTGCCAAGAAATTTGCAAGGCATGGAGAAATCGAGGAAGAAAATGCTAAGACTTTTTCTTCATTTTGTTGGGAAAGCAAGTGGTTAATTGAAAAACATTTGGCATTCCAAAGACGACACAGCTATCAAGAGCTGCAGAGAACTCTATCTCTGAAGAGGAAAAAGATATTTCAGGCTGGGTCAGGCAAAGCTTCAAGGAGAGAGGCAGTCATTTCGAACAGATAGAATATCTTGAGTAAAAGTAAGAAGACTATACCTGGAGAGAGGTGGGTGTGGCTTCTGGGGAGAAGGGCCTCCAGTGTGGTCAATGGGAAACCTTCACGAAAGGAGTGATAGGAGCTTGGTTTGGGCCAGATGAAAGTAAATGGAGAGCCGTTGAAGATTTCGAGTGAGAGAATGGTCTGATGAAAACTCTCTTAGAGACCGGATGCGATGGCTCACGCCTATAATCCCAGGACTTTGGGAGGCTGAGATAGGCAGATTACTTGAGATCAGGAGTTCAAGACCAGCCTGGCCAACATGGTGAAACCTCTTCTATACTAAAAATACAAAAATTAGCTGGGCATGGTGGCGGGCTCCTGTAGTCCCAGCTACTCCAGAGGCTGAGGCAGGAGAATTACTAGAACCCAGGAGGCGGAGGTCGCAGTGAGCCAAGATTGCGCCATTGCACTCCAGCCTGGGTGACAGAGTGAGACTCTGTCTCAAAAAAAAGAAAACTCTCTTAGAAAGATCTTAGAAAGACTAAAATGAGGCCAACGCGGTGGCTCATGCCTGTAATCCCAGCACTTTGGGAGGCCGAGGTGGGCGGATCATGAGGTCAGGATCATGCCCAGGAGTTCAAGACCACCCTGGGCAACATGGTGAAACCTAGTCTCTACTAAAAAATACAAAAATTAGTGAGGCGTGGTGGCACACTCCTGTAATCCCAGCTACTTGGGAGGCTAAGGCAAGAGAATCACTTGAACCTGGGAAGTGGAGGTTGCAATGAGCTGAGATTGTGCCACTGCACTCCAGCCTGGGTAACAGAGTGACATTCTGTCTCAGAAACAAACAAACAAACAAAAACCAAAAAACAAAGTGACCTGGCTGGAAAGAAGCTGAAACTGTATCGCATGAGAAATGTGTGAAAGACTTGATGCTTAGACACAAGAAGAGAAGACGGAAGGGAGCATGACTAGCAGTCCACTTGAGGTAGCACTAATATCCTGTCATTTCCTAATGTGCCAGGTGTCCACAGCCAAGTGGCAGAGCTGGGGTTTGTGTTCAGATGGGTCTGACTTTAAAGCCTGGGCATTTCCCTCTTCATTGTAGGGGCTGCATAGGAGGTGAGTCTTCATCTGTGTGGTTCTAGGAGAGAGAACAGAACCAGCGTGTCCAGGAGGCAGTCCCTACACTAACTACCTTGTCCACAAGGGGAAGGCAGCCATGTGAGGCCATAAGCTTCCTGTCACTGGAGGTGTCCAAGTGAATCCTTAAAGACCACCTGCTGTGTGGCCGAGGGCTCAGGGCATTTGGCAGTCACCGTCTCCCAGATTCTCCCAGGGCCCCATCACTTTTGCTGCCCGGCATCCTCTTGCTCTGCCTGAGTGCTGGCCTGACTGGCTGTCTCTTCCCACAGCTCCTCATTAAGCTGAAGACTCAAACGTCCACAGAGTACTTCCTGGAGGCCAGTTCTCGAGAGGAGCGGGACGCCTGGGCCTTTGAGATAACCGGGGCTATTCATGCAGGGCAGCCGGGGAAGGTCCAGCAGCTGCACAGCCTGAGAAACTCCTTCAAGCTGCCCCCACACATCAGCTTGCAGTGAGTTCCCCGTCTGCCAGGCTCTGCACAGCCTCTCCTGCTTGTGTGCAGTGGGCAGGGGACCTGGCCCCTTGAGTGGGGTGGGGGCTCTCTGCTTGCTGCACAGCCTGGCTAATGCCACCATCGTGCTTCATCGTCCCTGTCCTGTGCATATTGTTTTCTCTCCTTGGAAGTGGCCTTACCTACCTGCCCCATTCCTATGAAATCTCTCCAGGTTCCTGCCTCCTCTGCACACCTCCATGACACAAGACCCCCATTCCGTTTCAGCCAGGGTGCTCAGGGCTGTGTCACAGCTCCCCCAAAGTCTTCTTAGTCTGTTTTCTGTAACT